AATTTACCCAATTTGACTACATTGTTATGAAGAAAATAAAATTCACCTAGGATGCTTAAAGAGAAAGGTATAAGTAACTCCAGACATCAGAGAACAAGAAAAAGTCAATAAACTTTAGGCATTAGATCAATAACCATTAGCCTGTCTGTTAGTGAAGAACCTTAAGCAATAAGCACTGTGATTACCCTTGTGCGAATAGAGGCTGGAATATCCTGAAGAACATCAGTGTCAGAATAGCTGCGGTCATATTGTAGTCGTAAATGACCTTTGATCTCACTACTTATTTCCTTTCCAAGATTGTTTGTATTCATGTATTTGATAAGGTCAGTCATTTTGTCCCTGAATCTCTCTGTCTTTGATCCTTTCACTATCAATGCCGTCATGTTACCAAGCAAATAAGCACCAAGAATCATGTCAAAAGAGATGTATACCATCACAAATATCATTTCCCTAACATTGACAGCATGTGTGTCTCCATAACCTGAAAAATAAAGCATTAGAACAAAACATGAGAAAGCACCATTCATAAAATGAAATCCATGTCAAACACATATGTAATAGTTTTTGTTAGTTAGTGGACCTTTTAACTTAACATCAATCGGAGAAAAGATACTGAGAAAGAATTACAAGGTATACACAATTCTTTTGAGGCAAGAGAATGGATAGAGACAATCCATTATCAACGAAAGAGTGCTAAAAAATGCATGTTCATCAAATAGAAACACTGTTTAGACTGTGTTGGCTTATTGATAGAAACAGAATCCAGGATGAGAAGAGAATAGCAGAATTAGGGCAATATTTAGAAGCCTTAACTCAATTCATATTTAACTCTTAAATAACACCCTAATACAACTTACCCTTAATAATAATTATAATTATAATATGGGTTTTTCTAACTTGTAATTTATACAACTTTTAACAATTAATTTGTATTGAAAAAATAAAAGTTGACTTTTAATTCATCAACTATCCAATTAAAATCATACAAGTGGCATGGGTACAAAAATTAATATTAGCATTTACATTTTTTCATGTAAATTAATTGCTAAAAGGTATATTAATTATACCCTTAAGGAAAAAGTTAGAAAAAACCTTATAATATAATCCTAATATATAGATTATTTCCTTCCTTATCTGCATCACTCATTCAAGTTGCTATAAGGCCATCTATATCATAAGACAACTTATCAACTTCATAGCAATAATGAGTCACATTTCTTATAGATGGCTATATCTATACATATATCCCCCTTAAAACTAAATAAATGACAATTCTATTCTATTATTGTGGCTTTCACATGGCTTTCAAATAATAGAAATATCAAGAAGTATGGATCATAGTTAATGCCTTTATGATCATACACTAGATATGAAATACAATTAAAACGTCGGATAAAATTATAAACAAAATTCTATTTTATGATCTTAATTTTTACTTAACAAATAAAAATAATAATAATTACCATCATTTAAAACCCAGTTGGAAATCAAACGAAATAAAAAGAATGTATAAAAAGACTTACCAACAGTTGCCATTGTGGCAATAGCAAAATAAAGGGATGTTACATAGCGCTTCCAAAGATCTATATCTCTGAAGTGCGTATAATGAAAGTCACCCATCTGTAAACTACCAATCCATGTATAACCTTCCTCAGAGGCAGGCACGGTAGTAGCAAGATAGTAGAAGATGCAGGCAGCTGTGTGTGTGCAATAGTATTCGACAACAAGAAGCTTGACAATTCTCGTAAACAGGTAATTTATCCGTATATCTTTCTCCAACTTATCAAAAAACTCCGTTACTCTGAGGCTACGACTTAGCCTAATCCACAACATGTACCTCACTGCTTCTTTTCTCCGAGAAGCCTGGTTAGACATTTTTAGTAAAAACTAAGGTCAAATTCAGAACTTCGAACATATAATATCTCTAAATTGAAGAGATGTGTCTTAATTTGATGTTGCAGAAGCTAATCAAATGTGCAAAAGATTGATAATTTATGAGCCGAAACTACAAAGGTAACCTTGAAAATAGCATCCCAGGGAAGACAACCGAGAAAATCAACCATAAATCGTGACTTCAAGTACCTGCACAAGAAAATTAAAAATACCCAGAAAGCAAATCAATGATTTTATTCAGGAAAAGGAAAATTGGAAGTGGGTGAATGAAAATAAATCTGCCACGGAAATGAGAAAAAGCAACAGACCGAAGAGCGATTAGCCTATGGTTGTAGACCATGCGGTAGGAATCGATGTCCCGATATGCGACGAAGAAGCGGACGACGATGTCGATAAGGAAAGCGATCTGGCCGGCAATGTCTAAGAGGAAAAGGTTCTCCGGAAGACCTCGGAAAAATCCAAATTCCACAGGAGTGAAGAAGGAGGAGTATACAGCCCATATCAAAATAAAATGCGTCCACACAGCATACCACCTGCAATTTTCAATTCAGGTCGCACAAGCAAAGAGATAGCCAAAGCGAAAGAGGAACAATGTTTAGGCGCCAAATTGTTGCAAGGCTAATAACCAACGATATTTTAGAAGGCAAAACTATATATTAAGCCCCTAAACTAGCCCCAGATTTGCTATTGGGCTCCTAACCTTAATTGATACATATAAGTCCCTAAACTCTACTATCTGAGCAATTTAACCCTTAATTCTTTAATTACCATAAGAATAATGGCAAAAACACTTCTAAAGCCTTCAAACTTACCCCAAAATAGCATTTAAGCCTCTAAATTAAAAACAAAGCAAATAAACCCTCCAACTCTACTAACAATGCAAGTAAACCCTTCTCACAAATTGGTCAAATGGTATTTCATATTTAATATCACTTTAAAATCATGAACACCCATGAATGAGAAGGATTTATTTGCATCGTTAATAGAGTTAAAGGGTTTATTTGCTTCAATTTTAGTTTAGGGATTTAAATGCTATTTTGACATAAGTTTAAGAGTTTAAAAAGGGTTTTTTTACCTAAAAATAAGGATTAAATTGTTTAAATCATAAAGTTTAGGGGTTCATATCTATCTATTAAAGTTTAGAGATTCAATACCAAATTTAAAACTAATTCAAAAACTTAATATATGGTTTTACCATTTTAGAACACACGAATATCACAGACAAATAAACCACATACGAGCAACCATTTCTAAAATATAATATAAATATTTTATAATTTAAATTATAAAATATTAATTTTAAAAAATATTTTTTAATATAATTTGTACTTTTTTATAGTTTAATAAAAAATTATTAAAACACTTTTAATAAAAATTATTCTTTATATTATTCATTAACAGTATTTTATTAAATTCAATATCTAAAGTATATAAAAAAAAGTTCATACTAAAAATATTTTTTATATTGATTATTAGATTAATAAAAATATATGAAAAGAATCCTAATCTTTAATAATTAATATCTTATAACATAATACAATTTAAGTAATCAAATATACAGCTCGAAAGTTAAATTGACAATATATACATACAAACATAAAAGTAGTAAAAGATCATAGATTCCTATGCAAATTAAAAAGGATTGTATTAGCACGTCCTAAAACTGCCATGTCTACAGACGACGTTAATCGTTTAAACCATACCATCTTAAGCGAGAATGCTAAATAATTTGGAGTAAAGGGTTAAGACTTAAGAACGTCGTCCTTAGAATTATTTTCATATTTCTTGCTTGAATTTAGTATTTAATAATTTAAATTATAATATTAAATTATAAAATATTAACTTTCATTAAATGAAAATTTTTTTTATATCAATATATCCCTCTAAATCTAATGAATAATATTTGATTTGATTATTCAAAGTAATTTAGATGGTAAAATATATTTTTCTTTTATTATTTTCCCTATCCTCCAATTTCCTTATGCAAAACCGATGTCATCCTTTTCAAAACAAAAGAAAGGGACTAAAAAAAATTAGAAAAAACTGTTTTTTAAAACAAGATTTGGGTAAAAGTTACCAGTTGTCAGAACGAATCAAGAATCGCTTGGAAGTGGAGTACGAATGTTCACCGCTCGGACTAACCAAATCCCTCGCAGTTACAGCACTCCCACTCGACTGATCATCTCCGATCAACAACCAAAGACGCCTCCACCACGGCGGCCGCCTTGACGAATCTCTGCGCTTCCCCTCAACCTCGAACACTCTATGCTCCGATTGGTCTACTCTCCTCCGATCTCCAGCTCCCTGCCGCATCATCGTGATCTGAATCGCGCAGCTTTGATGCGATTTCCGGCGAAATTAAGCTCCGCTGAGTGGCACAAATCTCAACAATGCAATAGATTTAATTGTGATGCATTCCCAGCTTTTAAAGGTCGAAAGGGATCTAGCTGTTGTGTTTGTAATTAGCTCTTAATTATTCTATTCTCTTCATTTATACCTGAAATTTGAAAAGAAGAGTCTGTGCGACGAAGAGAATCGCCATACAGTCTGCACTTTTATCCAGATAATAAGCGAATAAAATCTTTTTAAAAACGAGCGATGGAATTCTATTTTCACAGGCATTAATTCGTCTTCTCTTTCATGGCCAAAAATATTCGTGCAGACACAATATATGTGATTGTTTTTTTAATCATGTATACGTATACTAATAATTTAAGTATTAAAAGAAAATTATTATTACTTTTATTATAGTAAACAAAAATGTTATGTTTACAGGGTGGTGTTGTAAACTTAGGTGATATGTCGTTAAATTATTGAGACTTCGATTTGGTCTGACTTTTAGTAATAATTGATTGTTATAATTAATAAAATAATTAATATTAGTTTAAAATTGGCCTTATATTTTAAAATACTCTAAGTTGTTTGAGGAAAAAACTTATAGATTGTTTAATTAGAAATATATCCTATAACAATAAATATAAATTTAAACTATATTTATAATATATATAAATTATTAAATATACAAAAGTTATCTATATTTAAAAATTACATTAGCAATTATTGTATGGATATAAATAAAATTATTAACGTAAGAGGAATATCAGCATGAACATCTTAAATGAGCAAATATTCTAAATTATTGTGTTAACTTTAAGAGATAATTAGTATTTAAGCCATTAACAATCCTCACCCACTAATAACCCTACTATAATTATCACCTAGGGTAATGCATTCTCCTGCATCAATGTTTTCACGTGGCCAGCTAAAGGAAAATCATTGTAGAAACAAACACGGCCCCCGAACACCGGCAATAAAACAGCAACAAGTGGTGATCATCCCCGTGAAACCAAGCAAACAGAAAGTCCAATAAGTGGTAGGCATACAAGATCAAGTACGTAACCATATAGAAGTCCATGGCCACTAGGGATCAAAACTGGTTGCAAACTTCCATGCTTCTCAAACAAAGAAGTTGATTCCGTTTTGTACCGGTTGGCATATATCGGATTTTTCATTAATTTGAAATGGTATAAAGTTCAATTTCGTTTCTATCAAATTTCTCCATTTGAGTCAAATTTCTCCATTTCAATCAAATTTTGATATATTGGTTGATATTTTGCATTCCGACTAGTACATAAAAAATTAGCCACTACAGATCAATTCAAATTTAAAAAGGACAAATGCCATTTTTTGTTCTCAATTTTAATGTTTTGCATAATTTTCATTGTTTAATTTTTTAATGCACTTTTTTAGTCCATCAACTATGAAAAATGCATTTGTTTTAGTCATTATGTCAGTTACTCTGTTAAATTTGTCTAATTATACATATTTTTAGTTCCTTAACTTCAAGTGAAGGGATAAAAAATATGCATATATTAAAAGTTGAGGGACAAAACGTGTATTTTTAGTCTTTTTCGATAATTTTAAATTCAAACTTCTAGTTCTTAGTGTTTACTGGTTGTTGCTCACTATTCTTAGTAATGTTTCGGTTTGTCTTTTATATTCTTGTTGTACTTAAAAGACATGATTTCTTTCCTTGTAAAAATATTTTGTATTGAGAATTGTATAACATTAAATCCAAAACACCGTTATGCTTCCTAATATTATCTTAATATTCAAGAAAAAAGAAAAAAAAAAAAAAAACGAAAAAAGAAGAGATCGATGAGTCACTAAACTATGGAATGCATCCAATCCATCATCTTGTTTTTGGCCTTTCCATGTTTGTTAAATTTGACAAGTGTTCGGCATGGTTGATGCCTATTAAATCCCAACACTCTAAGAC